GTGGGATGCAGGGAACACATGAAACCATGCCCCCTTCAGTCTGTGGAAAACCCTTTTCCACAGAACCGATTCCATGTGCTCAAAAGTTTAGGGGCTGTTGCTGTTGATAGCCCTTAGCAGAGGTGGGTTGTGCATGCGCAGAACAATTTCCAGTCAACTAAGCATGAGCAAGCAACTTGTGGTATGTGTGCATGTGTGCAAAGCAAACCGGTACCAACCAGTACAGAACCCACCGCTGGTCCTTAGCAACTATTTGAAATTATAACAGAACACCCTCTCCCCCCCCCCAAGAAAAGCTACTTAGGACGTACTTTCAAAATTCCAATGTCCAGTCTCACCCACCGTAGAGTCATATGACATTTTGGGTGCTTGGTAAACAGCCCACATTTATGGTCATTTGCAGGTTATTTGACCATGATTTTACAATGGCTTTGTCAGAAACCAGTATTTACTTCTTGTTTCTGACAAAAACTGCCCCATTGCAAACAATGCATTTGCTTAATGACTGCTGCATTTGCTTAACTATCACTGCAAAAATGTCATAAAATCATGTCTGCTCACTAGTGACCCACTTTACAACCTGTTTTACAACTGCAATTGCAGGGCTCGTTTATGGTCAAAACTCAAGGACTGCATGTAAGCAAGCAACAGGGGAATATATACAATAGAAATCCAATTGCATAAGGTTTTGTATGATTTTAATGCATCCCAGCAGTCATGTTTATGATAATAATCAGATTTATTTTATTAGATTTAGAAGTTGCTTGACTTCTTCAGCAGCCAGAAATAAGTAGAGAAATTATTGGAAAAATTGTTGATCTAAAATCTTTCTGTTGGAATTTTATGTTTACAATAAGTTTAAATTAAGGAATGTCATTTGATAAAGTTAATAAATAAAGACTGGCTCCAGGTAGTATATATAGAAGAGACATCAAATAGCAAAACCCACATAACATAAATTCTATGCATAGAAAACATATCTGTTTTAGCTCTAGATAAAAAGATATGTGTTTAACTATAAATAAGGAAGTGTTTGCTTTCAGTCTAAGATAATATTTGTACTAAGGTAACCCATTCCATTGTTAATTATTAGCTAAACCTTTAAATTTAAACTCTATAAAAGGGAAGACTCTATTGTGGCTACCTATCCAAAGCTATTTGATAATTTTGGGTGAATAGATGTATTTTTTTATCTTTACTGATGAGTAAAGCTTATCTGGTGAGTTTTATTAAATTCCTGACTCAGGGAAAAGCTGTCTGATTTTCTCTAGACTTCTATGGCAATAATATATAGAATTTAAAATCTTCACATTAATCTGATATCATACAAATCTAGAGGAAATGATAAGGATCCTTTTTTCCTTAAAAGTTTATTATAAGGCTTTTCAAAAATTTTCAGAAAATGGAACCTTCGAAAGAATCTAGCATTCCTAGTCAAGAGGCAAAGCTCTAGTGATTAGAGTTTGGCTACTTTTTAAATTAACTTTTCCCCCTTGTTTTTAAATCTCTCAGAAAACCTCATCAAATTCTGAGGGATTTGCAGAACAGAGGTTAAAAGGCTCATTTGTAAAAAGGAACAGAGCAGGAAATTAACAGCTACTAAGTTGAAATATGTTCCAAGTGAATTGGTAGAAATGGCAGTTTTAAAAAAATGACCAAGAAAGGAATGAAAATAACATATTTTGCAGAAGTAAGTTTTGTCTCAACAGCATTCTAGAATTTTCTGAGTGTTAGTGGGCTTTCAGTCAGAAGTGACTTTGTTGATACTATATATCTGGATTTTCCGGAAGCATTTAATTGAAGTTCATCAAAAGTTCTTCACTAAACATAGTAATCTTAAAATAAGAGGATCTGTCATTTTACAGATTAAAAAACAGAAAGCATAGAATTGGAGCAGATGGTAATTTTCTTAGGAAGAAAAACTACAGTGCTTTTAACTTTGCTTATACACAATTCAAAGTGGGCTTATTAAAGTTTGTGGATGATATTAAACTAATCAGATGGTAAAAATAATTGTTAGGGCTTTGTTTAAATCACCTTATGATAAATGCAGTCTGTCAAGGAAACTGAAATAATTTGAGAAAACGACATTCACTGCCAAGTTCACACTCCTCTGATTGGGTCAGCAACCAGTTTCATGGTGCATGAATCAATGTAAATGGGACTCTGTCTGCAGCAGATATGAAAATGGCAAGTTCAAGAACATTTATGCAAATCTATGATACATGTGATAAGAACAGCTTTGTCATACATAAACCTTTGTAAGTCTGCTGTCAATATCTGCAAACAAACAACCTCAAGTTGCACGGAACAATATGCTCTTTGGGCAAATTTTTATCATTGTTATTAAAAGGCTTTTTTCTGTAGAGGAACATGCTGATAGTGTCTGATCTTGGACACTATCAGAATAAATTGGATTGCAAGGACAGCTATTGCAGTACGTAGAGTTCTATCCTCTACATCTGAAAAGGGCAAACAGCAAAACTGGTGTGCAGGAGTGGGGAAAGAGACACAATAAGGTGTGTAAGTCATTTATAGCATGAAAAAAGTGGGCAGAGTGTGTTTCCCATTATCTCCAACCATGGCAACCAGCAATTATTCAGTGAAGCTGATTGGAAGGAATACACTGTGGCTACTAATTTGGATGGCTGGAGGGAAAGGTTAGATAAGTTCATGAAGGACGTCTTTCAAGGGCTATTGATCTTAAAGATTCAATGTTACAGCAAGAGTACTGGAACAGCAATCACCAACAGTAAGGGAACAATGGCAGCACAGAGGTATGTCTCTGTCCCAAAAATATTGGGTTGGCCCCTGTAGGAAAAAGTTGCTGTAGGAGGAATTTTGGTGTTATCCAGTAGGCCTTATGCCTAAGTGAATGTCAGTTAATGTTACTACTTATCTATAGCATTTCAATTAGGCCAAACTTTTTACAAGGAGGGCCAGATTTGGTGAGGTGAAAATGTGTGGGGCCGACTATTCTTTGAACCATTAACATTAAATGCAAATGAACTATTTTATGAAAGACTAAACAAATAACTCTGATGGGAAGAAGAGGCTGCGGGCTATTTAAAATTTGAAAACGGGCCGCAATTGGCCTCTGGGCCGGACTTTGGACATGCCTGAATTAGGCTATAATGAAAGTAAATAGAATAAATCAGATGTGGCAATTCTGTTACATGCACACATATATAATTGTTTGGTGATGGGACATCATCACATTAGGCTAGCTTAAGCTGGCAGATGTTCTACTCATCTCAGGACCAATGCATTAATTTGAAGAAAACATGATGAAGGTCTCTGCTGGAGGCAATTTGTTTTTACTTTCTTCTCTGGTGATTCTGCTCTTTTGAGGGAGTTGAACTAATATATAGTGGATTTGAAACTATTCTAATTTTTCTACCCTAGTTTAAGCACTTAGTGGGTAAGCAATGTTTTTGGAGAAAATTAAAATGTACAGGAAACGGATTTCTATTAAATAAGATATATTTTTTTCTATTGGCCTTCAAGCCAGTCTTGACTCTTGCAATTTTCTTGGTAAGATTTAAAGAGTCACTTGCCCTTGCCTTCTTCCTAAGGCTGAGAGACTGACTGGCCCAAAGCTGGTTTCATATCTAAGGCAGAAGTAGAACTCAGGACTTTTAACCATTACATTAAAACTGGTTCATGTGCTCTAATTTTAGAATACACAATGGAGAGAGAATATGATCTCTAACTCAGGCACTTCAGCTGCTTGTAGTATATAAAGCATACACTCACGGTTGAATGAAATAATTGGAATAGATGTGTACTCTTACATATTTCAACTAGACAATGGTTCTTGAGGAGTCAAGTTATATAAATATCAACATGACCCTGAAAACTTAAAGTTTATTGGATAAAGCTAAATAGCAGTAAACAAATAAAACGCATTCCACCTAAATAAAAAAATTCACATATTTACAGAATTTCATAAATGTGTAAGTTGTTCACATGCCAAGATTAATGCAAGATTAAAAAGTTGATAGTGGTTTGGGGACGTCAAAACACTGAAAGCTGTGTGGTATACACTAAAACCCCAAATATATTGAATTCAGCAAAAGGCCAGTTACCTAAACAATAATTTAGTTCCTGCAGGAAAGGTTGACATGTTCTCATTCAATTTCCTTATATTTTTAGGCACAAGCAGAATTGCTCGTCAAATACAGCAGTCCATAGTGAGCTACATATACAATCGGGAGTCAGTGAATCTTTTCTACAGCACCAATAATATAGGGTTTTATTAAGCATAGAGAAGTTAAAATTGCAAGCTCAATTTGTAAACGGAGGCAGTACTTGTGTGTGTTGCAGCGGTGCAGGTATTTGTACGGGAACAATAAGGCCATGGCAGTTATAACTCAAAATTTACTGTGCAGAGGCACATTTTTAGGTTGTAACCTCAGTCCAATCATTATGGGGGGAAAGGTGCAATTTAGTACAGAATTTGTACATTACACTTGTAATGCTTTAAGCACACTTTTAAAAGTAATCTAGATTTGCTGCCACTGTAGCTTCTCATTTTACTTTCTCCAGATGATCTATGACAGAACTGCCACAGGCTTATACAAACATTTCATGTATTACTGTAAAGGTACCATCTATGCCTTTTGGCAAAGAATCCTTTGCCAAAATAACAGAATATCTATATAAAGCCAGAGAAGTTTCATTATACATGCAGGTAACAAAGAAAACATACTATAGCTAATAGCAGTACTTGATCCAATATAAAATGTTCATTTTTGAGAAACAATTTGTACTTGAACAAGCACATTAAGAAGATACCTATGGATGCATCAAACATATATTAAACAAGAGCTCTGAAACAGCATTTAAATACATACAGGTGTTCCTTAAAATAATAATACAGCGAGGAGCAACCGAAACACTTGTACTATGTATTTGCATACCGTAGCCTACCTCAGCATTACTGCATCAATAACTTTAGCGTTGACAAATCTGTTTAAATATTGACGTAATATAAGAATGTAAAGATATGAAAGTAGTGTTAATTTTTCCATTTCAAATAACCTCTATACTGCAGAAGCTGAGAAGGACAATAACTTCATAAATGTCCTTGTGCTTCAAGACACAACTTAATGTTTCATAGCGTTTGAACTTTATACATGATTACACAGTGAGAAGCAGGCAAACCTAGTGTTGTCACAATAGCCTAGGTATTTAGCACCAAGTGCAACTGTGCACAACTACTCCATTAATAGAAGAATAAGGTAGACAGTGGCACATATTTTTGTGCTGGAAATCAATATGACATCCAGAATGTCATACAGCTATAGCCTGTGTAAAGCATTTCTAGAAGGAAGATGTGACTGTTCCATCTAATTCAACATTACATAATACCTGTTTATATGTTCAATTTTTGAGAGGCTGATTTTGAAGTATTTTATTCCTTGTTCCTCTTAAAAGAGCTTTAGCAAATATAAAGACATTAGGAGATTCCCTGCACAATACCAAAAAAAACCTGACAACCTGAAATTTTTATTCATAGGGAGGAATACAATTTGAGAATTTATGATAATTTAGTGATTTAATTCTAGTGCCTCGTACTTTCCATTGAAACCTTTTTACAATAAAGATCACATGCATCTGAGAGGAAAAAATAGTACAGTATCCCATTTAAACAGTGTCAGAAAAGCTTTAGAATAAGAGTTGACATAATCCCTGTGCTGCCATGTGTCAGCATTTCCAATGAGCGGCTACATACAAGAATGAAATAATTGTGCGGAAAATCTAATATAAAAATCTGGATCAGGAAGACCAGAGACAAAAAAAAATTCTGGAGATAGTACCCACTGCCACTGTCTAGATGAAATGAATAAAAAACATTTGCACGACTTATGACAACTCTAGCCAACTCTTCGACAGAAGTAGGATTATAAGTCATTCAGCAGTGCATATATGGAGGCATGAACTGTGAAAAAAGGCAATTCCTTGGACACAGGAGGACTATCCTGGATAATAATTCATCATGGAGGGAGTAGACAATTGAGAATATGGCCAAATGAGCAGCTATATGAATGTTTTCAGCTTCTTCGAGACTTTGAGTGCTAAATAAGCCACTGAAGTGTGATATCTAAAAAAAAAGGAAAACATGACAATTGGTTTTCAAGATAATTGCTGTACCTAATCATCCTTAAAAATCAGCATTTAAGCTGGAATGCACATGGATTCATTTTTTCCAGATTCCAGAAACATCCACTGTAGGATAGCAAGTAGAAGCATGTTCTGTGTGGCTGAATCAATAATGAAAGTATTTCAGAGATTTCTTAAAATCTGTGACAGTTATTTGGACAGGTTTTGGTAATTTTAATTCATTCAACATTTGTTCCTACTGCATTACTAACTTTCTTTTAATTAAAAATGAATTTCAATGCAGGCAAAAAAGCTGCTCAAGTGCTAATTCAAATTCTTTAGTCAGTAGATGTTATTCTATGAAAACCATATCTAAAAATTTGATTGATTCTTTGATTTAACAAGATCCTTTGTCACAATCAATAGTTTTTTCACAAAGCAAGACTTGCTATCAAATGTTAGATAGTTCATTAAAAGATATGCATGCAATAAAATCAGATCCTTCTAAAAAATATTGCATATAAATTTAAATAGCCCTTTAGCGCATATGGATCTTGCATTTAACTGGACTGAACCATCACTTGTAAGCATATTGTACATTTGTAAGTATGAATTTCTAGAATCATAACCTTAGAAACTTTGTAAGTATAAGGGAGTTCTTTTCATAAATTCTTAAATAATCTTTAAAGATAATGTTTATTTTTAAGAAATCTTTAAAGACATCTTTTCAAATTATGTTTTCTGTTTAAGTCATAAATAACAAACCTTTGTATAAAATGAGACTTATGTAAAAACCATCATTTCTCAAAATGGTGGTTTTTGCATCAGCCTCATTTTATACAAAAAGTATTTGCCTTCTAGATGGCACTGATTTAAAATTCAAGAAATTTTAAATTTTGTGAATTTTTTTTCAATAGCTCCATTTTTTTTATTTTGATTTGTGTGAATAGAATAAAATGGAATGGAACAGAACAGAACTGAAAGTACAACAGAGTTGGAAGGGACCTTGGAGGTGTTCTGGTCCAACCACCTGCTCAGAGAGGAAACCCTATACCACTTCAGACAAATGGTTATCTAACATCTTCTTAAAAACTTCCAGCGTTGGAGCATTCACAACTTCTGGAGGCAAGTTGTTCCACAGATTCATTTTTCTAACTGTCAGGAAATTTCTCCTTAATTCTAAGTTGTTTCTCTGCATGATTAGTTTCTATCCATTGCTTTTTGTCTTGCCTTCATGTTCTATGGAGAATAGCTTGACTCTCTCTTCTTTGTGACAACCCCTAAGATATTGGAATACTGCTATCATGTCACCTGTAGTCCTTCTTTAAATTAAACTAGACATACCCAATTCCAGCAACCGTTCTTTATATGTTGTAACTTCCAGTCCCCTAATGATATTTGTTGCTCTTCTCTGCACTCTTTCTAGAATCTCAACATCTTTTTTACATCATGGCAACGAAAACTGGATGCAGTATTCCAAATGTGGCCTTACTAAGAAGGCATTATAAACTGGTATTACCTTAATAGGGATTTGGGTTTTTTTTATTATTATTGTTTGGTACCCAGAATTTGTTATGAGAGAGATGGCTAAACAGCATCTTTCACAATACAACCTTATTTGAAGATAACATAAAGAAAAACTCACAACTTCATGTATCAGCCTGTTCCAATGACTATCAGCTTGATATCTAGCCTGTGCCTTTCTTTAATTCTACTGTTTGCTGGGCAACACAGAATAAATCCATTTCCTCATCTTGTGAAAACCCTTTAAATATTTGAAGAGAGCTATCATATCTCCTCTAAATCATCTTTCTGTAAACTAAACACACCCGATTAACTGTTCCTCAGAGGCTTTATTCCAGAATGGTACACCATTTTAGTAGCCTTCCTTTAAACTTGTTTCAATTTGACACTGTCTTTTTTGAACTGTGGTAGCCACGGGTAACATACTGTGTACTTTAAAGTTAGCATTACTGGTATTATTACCTATATTGTCCTTTTCTTTGCAGGAAATGGAGTAGCAGCAGATTTCTCTGTCTTGAATAGCAGCCAGGTTCCTGGAACAGAAGCAAATAATAATTTATTGAAAACTGACAGCAACATCCTATTAAACGTGACATACATGTGATTCACATTAAAATATTATTTTTAATTACAAAGGCAGATTATTGGAAACTTTCTCCTATGACTGCAAACATATATACAAATCAAAATAACCGTAACTAAAGTAATTACTGTTAGAAAGACTGTTCTTTTAAAAAAAGAATTATGTGATATATGCTGGACATACCCATATTTACCACTGATGAACAATATTCCATAGGCCCTTATGTGACTGATAAAATAGCAAAGCATCATGGGCTGTCTAGGGAATTCTGGGAGTTAAAGTTCACAGGTGTTAAAGGTTTTTCTTTGAAGATGTTTCACTTCTCATCCAAGAACCTTCTTCAGTTCTGACTGGATGGTGAGGAATGGAAGAATTTATACCCCACATCCAGTCACAGTTGAAGAAGCTTCTTGGATGAGAAGCGAAACATTTTCAAAGAAAAAACAGAAAATCCAGTTGTCTCTTGAAAAAGCATCTTTGGGACAACCATGACCTGGATGACTGAGAATTTCCACAGATACAGACTTAAAGTTGCCAAGGTTGGACACACCAATCTAAAACATGTTTGTTTTACCTTACTTCTTAAGATATGCTTGCTTACTCACTTACATTTTTTCAATAAGCTGCTTCTCATCCAGTGCATTAGCAAGGTCTCTTTTGTTTCCAAGTACTAGAACCTGTGAACAGAAAATATGTACTGATTTTAGCATGTAGCTTTTTAAGGCAGGAAGCAGTTAAATTTCATTTCAATAACAATCCATTTTTGTGACACATAGAGGAAATAAAACACTCATATTAAGGAACTAGAGTTGCAACATTTATTCCCTGATACAAATAGCCAGTCTTTATTTTTAAAAAAAAACATATTACTGATGAATGATGAATATCAGATGTTCCTAAGGGATAGACATGAATTCCAGAGCTAGTAGAACACTTTTTTAAAAGTTGGGTTACTAGTGGCATGTCCAAAATATCAGAGCTAGCAGAATTTTCAATCCTTCCTTCATTTAAAAAAATAGATACAGTATGCTATGCTTATCAAAAGATCATGAGCATAATATCTTTGTCAACTCCTAAAACATTTCTGTATGTCATGGTGAGGAAAGCCGGGGGGGCATTCCGACTTGGCTAGAGTTGGATCTCAGATTACTACAGCAGGCTTGTGAGGCATGCATCTCATTGGAGAATGTGATTTATGGCACAAACTGAGGGGAGGGAAGAAACAGAGGCAAAGTTCAGCCATAATTTAAATGAGGTTAGAGCTGACTGCAATGGGATATTCCCGAAATGGTGTTCCTAATAAATAACTGGATTTCTTTTGAAACTTGGCTGGAGGCTCATGAATTAATGAGGGCATCTTTTGGAAATCTGACAATCTTTGTGTTTAAAAATCGCAGGAAATCATTGCTGATCTTGTCTGGTAGCATGATTCTGAGAGCAGTGGTTGTCCACTTTTGCTATCAGTGCATTGTACTCATATGTACCTCACAAATAATGTCTCTTATAACTCTGTATGTTACTGTTCTTTTGGTCATAAGCGTATACAAAGCAGGTTGTAATACAGAACAGGATGGGCTAGTCTGACAGTGGCACAACCAGATAAGCCATTCTGCTTATCAGAAGCTGCAGGGAAAGTCATTTCAAAAGGAAAATTTGGTATAGTAGATGAGAAATCGAATAGTACAAGTCAGAAATAATTGGCCAATAGTCAGTCATTTCAGGTCAGTTTTTTTCTGCCCAGCTAGTCCAAAACTCTTTACTTTCTCTTTTTCTTGTGAAACAAGGTACTCCTGTCCTGCTTAATAATTTACTCAATACCTCAAGGTGTTTTAAATCACTTGTCCTTTTATCAACTTGGCCTACAGTTTTAGTATATTTCTATGATCTGTGGCTGAGGAAGCTTTTAGAAGACCAATTTCAACTTGCATTATATAAAAAAAACCTGAAGATAATAATAATATAAGAATCAAATATTTACATGACAGAAATGTGCTTAACAAGCAATATATCAAACGTCAAAAAAAGCTGTCCACAGACAACGATGCAATTATTTTCTAAACAAATTAAAATTTCAAGCACATTTCCTCATCGATTTCTTCAAAATTTTCAGGCAGGATTAACATGTCCACTACTCACAGGAATTCCTTGTAGCTGTGGTTTATCTAGAAGATTGTGCAACTCATTTCTAGAAGCTTCTATTTTTTCACGATCTGCAGCATCTACCATATAGCTATTAAAAAGAATTTGTTTAAATCAGTTTGTGCAATGCAAGGTACACCAGTGCACTCCAGCAATATTACCAACATTCCCCTCCCAAAGAATCTCAAATGACTAGGAATTTCATCGAAATATTATAAAAGGTAACAGAAAATTGCAAGCCAAAATCTCATTTAGTGACTAAAAACTGAGTAATTTGATCCCGCGACCCTCATCAAAGCCTTAAATTATAGCACAGCATGGCTAAAATTATATTAAAACATGTTGAAGCTTTTCAGAATTCTTCCTCCTAATAACCCAGGAGGAGTAAGAAAACACATCAAATTTGAAAATGGCAAAATTGAATGTCTTTGGGATCAATATTCCCTAACCATTTCCTTACACTTTACAATATATTGATACCTGTCATAAACTGCCATAAAATTAGCTTCAGTCATGTGTTGACCCACTTAACAAGCAAAACAACTTACAACCATATTTTTGGGCTGAAATATAGTCATAAATCGAAGACTATCTATATTCTGTGTCACCACAAAGTTCCAATATAGCTGCTAAGCCTCATTAAGTATTGAACAATAGTGAATTCCAAGTTTTCATTTATAATTGCCACAATTGAAAACATTTTCATCTAAGACTTTAAAATTAATCTAAGTATAACCTAAAGTTATGTAAATTACATAGTCATCGTTAACTCAAATAGTTACATTCAGAATGTCATTGCCAGAGTAATACAAGGAAAAGCTGCAACAAATCTTAGGTCAACATTCTCCACTCCCCAACTCTGAGATGCATTTGGAAGCTTTCATTACTTAATAATAAAGTTTTGTAATACTCTATTTTAACTTTTTTTGGAATCCTTTTTCATGTCATTATGCTACAAAGCTTGAGTCCTTAGGGAACGTAGTAGTTTAGAAATATAGAACATAAATAAACTGTATTGCAATTTGTTATTTGGTCAGGACCAAGGGAAACAAGTTCTAATGTTTTCCTGTTTGTAAGACAACATGATATTAGAAATCTGCATTCATAATGTTTCAATTTACCATCATGTCCTTAAGCTCATTCTTTTAGAAAACTTTGACAGTCTCATATTTGCTAAGTGTTCCAAGTTAATGCTACCAGGTCTGAGTTGCAAAAATCTGATGACCGCTAGATGGCAGCAAAAGATTAGAGTTTTCTGAATCTCTTTGCCACCATTTAGTGGTCATCTCGGTTTTTGCAGCCTCAATCTTAAATTTAATCTCAAACCTTGTTTCATTTAGTAAGATCCCAATCGCGTGATGATGAGAACACTGTGATGACTATAACTTCATGAACTGGTCATAGTCCCCTTCATTCAGCTCCATCATAATTTTAAATAGTAGCAGGTTATAACTTAAGTACTACCTAAATAAAATCAGCTTCTGCGAAGGGAGAGGTACATTACAATTACATCATCCAAAAAGGTCAACAAGTTTTATTTTGTGCTTTTGGAAGGGAAAATTTTAAGTAAATTAGGTGTGATAAGCTTAGTAGAGCCTTAATGTACCTATTTTGCTTCTTCCTTTGCTAAATAAATAAATAAATTTATACCATCATCTTGTGAATTTTTGTTATTAAATTTCTTAATAGGCCACGGGGGCCACAAAAAAGGGGGATGAGGTAAGATCTATAGGCTTCCAAGCCTTAGTTTAAAGAACTTCATGGTTTTGTAATCCAGACTTCCTACTAAACAGTTGAGAATAACATGCAACAAAACACAACAGAAAAAAAAACACATTTAAAATAACAAAAAAAAAAAAAACTTACACAATAGCATTAACTCCTCTGCAGTAGCGTTCCCACATACTTCGGAATCGTGGCTGTCCTCCTATATCCCAAATCTTTTTAAGAGGGAGAAAAAAAGAATTATATCTGGAGATTTTGCAACTAAAAAGAGCAGAGTAGCTCACAATGTTCATTTCCAGGAAGAGCAACCAAACACCTCTTTTAAGTCATTGCAATATAAGATGCTGATTAAAGACTTACAAAGTTCTGAACAATCTAAAACAATGCAGACAAAGTAACTTGTCCCTAAGTACCGTATGCAGAACAACACAGCTCCTATTCATCCTGGAATGGATACTACAGATCGTACAGATTTCATCAGCATTGCCCTCTATCCCCAAAGAGTCCCATACAAAACAGCACAGGGCCTCTGGCCGCCTTGTCACTCCTGAATTTCCCAAAAGGAACAGGGTCATCTCGAATAGGTCTATAGGCAGAAATTTATGGCTGCAATAACAACAAAAAAGTACAAATGTTTTGCCACTATTATGGTATTACATTGTAGGCCACTGCTTAATCAAATTCATGTGTGGTCTTTTGCAACCATTGCTCTAGATGCCTTAAATTAGATTCATCTCCTGCCAGATAAGAAGTTTGCAGAAGCTCGCAGAGACAATCTCATTTGGTGGTCTGGTTGTACTGTTTATACCAGAGTGTTCTCACCCAGCTCTCCAAACACGACAAACCCTTTGACGTTAACTTAAAGATTCCTTTATTAAGAGCGTCAGCAGCAAAAAGCTTCTCTCTCCACGCAGGCTAACAAGACCGTCCAGCCAGAAGATGAATAGTTGTCTGCCACACCTATTCATCTCCGCCTCCTGTCTTTTAACCCCAGATAAAGGGTGGAGCTTCACTAGCAACGGTAGCTCTTCTTTCCCCAGGATTGGTCCATGGATCTCCACTGCTCTCTTCTTCTCTGCCTTCCGTGCATCCATGCATCAGGCACTGGACCCAGCTGTTTCTCCTCTTCTTCATCAGTCACCTTCAGACCTGGGAGCTGTTGGCTCTCCATCTGAGGGCTGATGGATGGCCCAGGTACCGCCTCTGTTTCTCTCTCTCTGCCAGCTCCATTCCCTCTTCCTTCTCAGAGCTCTCAGGTTGCCTTGATGCTGACCCTGACTCCTACGCTCCTCCTCCTCTGATTCGGCTGTTGGAGGGGCCGGTGGTCGACAGGCCACAACAGAGACTAGCCAGGCCCCTAGAATACAATTTGTGAACTTGAAACCCAGCCTTACAAGATGGTGGGTGCAATAGTTCTGAGGTCTGAAAGACTTCCCTCTAAATATTTATTTTGAACGGAGTCGTATTTATAGGCTATTACATGAGTTTGTTCCTCAGCGATAGGACTATATACTACATATTATCCCATGAGATTTTAGTAAAATGTTCTGTGTAAGGTTTTCCCTCTATATTTGAACACAGCAGTTCAGGGAACTATGTTAATCTTATTCAAAGATTAAGACTAATCATTCTTCCCATGCTTTTCTCATTAGCAAAATATAATTAATTTGGATACATACCTTTATTGTGACATTACCCTTGGTAACTTTCCGCATGTTGAAGCCCACTGTAGGAATCATGTCTTCACTGAACTGGCCTGACTGAAGACAAAAAAGGGATAGCTTTTAGTGAGATCTGTCAAGTAACTGAGTCATCTTTTCAGTCAGTTGCTTTCAGATACAAGGCTTATTGATGGATAGAACACAGAACATTTGTAATACTAAGTCTTAGCATTATTTTTCTTCCCCATCCATCTGAGGTTGATTTTTGCAATTAAGACAGTCATTAAGCAAATATGACATGTGAGTGAGGCCAGGAAAATTATAAAGTGGAAGGAAAACGATGGAAGGGAACAAGTGGCCAACATAGTCAGAGTCATATGTAATGACTCAAAAATACCTTCTTAGTTTAGAAAGATTGGATAGAAATTATTCAAGCTTCCCAGCATGCCCTATTAAATCTAGATGGCTACTCCATGAAATAGTTTTCTCCCAAAAAGTGTTAGGAAAGCACTGGCCAATTAGAATGTCTCATGTTGTTCCTTTTTTTAAAATGAGTCATCAGCATAAAAAGTAATTTCCCCAACACCCTACGGCGGCACAATAGCATCTGGAAGAACCTGAAAAACGTATGCATTTCATGGGAAAGTATAAAGTCAGGTTCATACAACATTATTCCAAAGCATAAAACCTGAAAGTTTACTTAAAGGATAAGTCCAGGCTTGAAACACTTGTGAAATATGATGAATGAACATGAAAATTATGCATCTAATATTATACTGTAATGTTACTTATAATTTTATAATTTATAATTTTATTAAAGCATTTATTGCTACTTATTTCAATATGGTATATTCCAATATGGAACAAATATAAGAAAACACTTCAAAATATATTTATGTGTTCAATTTGTTTGTTATCCATCTTGCTCCAAGGTTGATTCTGGGTGGCTTATCATTTCAATAAATGCAAATGCATGTCTACATATCTCCCTTGAATTCATGAAGTACTTGCTCTAGGCTAGCACAATGGGAATCTAGAACAATAATGTAAAGCTAGCCTCATGCAACTCTCTCAGTATCTGCTGAGAAAAGAAGCAGGCAACACCACCATAGATCTTCTACGTAGTTTTTCCTCTACCTTGAACGCTATTAAAGGCACCGCTTGACATCATTGCTACTTCTTTTGCCAAGGACTTCTGCCTAGCTTAGAACTCCATAGGGGCTTGGAATGGATGTGGCTGGGCTTGAAAACAGTGAACTGTCACTCTACTATGCAAAAAAGCAAAAGGGTAGGAACTTGCTATGCTGAAGGAAGCAATATGTGTGTGTGTGTGTATCTTTGCGATATACTGTGAATGTTTGTATTGCTATTCCATAAGATGCCATGAGTCTTTGTTGGAATAAAAAATATGTGTGTGTGTGAGAGAGAGGGAGAGGGGAGAGAGAGAGGGAGGGAAAGGGAGGGAGGGAGGGAAAGGGAGGGAGGGAGAGACAGAGGAGGGGGGGAGAGACAGAGGAGGGGGGGAGAGAGAGGGAGGGAGGGGGAGAGAGAGATTTTTATTCCAACAAAGAGTCATGGCATATTATGGAATTCAGAAGTGGGTTCCAGCTTCTTCTATTGCCGGTTCACTCAGGGACGTGCTTCGTGGATGCACGGACTTGATGCGCGCTACGTGCTCATGCGCAGTAGTAAAAAAATGGTTCTGTGCATGCTCAGAAGCAAAAAACAAGACAGAACCTGTTTGGGGGGCGTGGCCAACTGAGTTACTACCTACTTGGCTGAACCGAGCCAAACCGGTAGAAACCCATCTCTGATGGAACGGCAATGCAAACATTCACATTTAAATAAATCAGAATCTAAGAATGAAAATAATTCATTCTTCAAAAAAGAAATAAAAATCAAAACAACGAAGCCTGGTTATTCTAGTTATTCTGCTAAATCACATCTTCTGAAATATATTTTTAGAATTCCCAAAGATAAAAACAAGTTCTTATGCAGTGAACTTCTGGAAACGTTTACAAATATAGGATAGGCAAAAACACAAGTTGCCTGACTATATACAACAAATCTCATTTTTCCACTATGGAAAATAACAATGAATCCTTTCCATTCTTCACTCTACATTTTTGCTACCTCTTACTCTGAATCCTACTTAAGTTTACAACACTCCCAAATAACAAATCAATTTAGCAGAACCTTTATTCTGCAACAGAATAAATATCTGTTAAATAGACAATTACGCCATTACATTGATTAATTTCAGTTGCTTAATAACATCCTTACCCAATTAATAAAACGTGCATCTTTTTCACTATAGCATCAGCACACAAGTGACTCAACCCCATTCCCTTGTCAGCTGATCTTCAGAAGTCTGGGCTTTTGGCTGCTGTTGCTAAACACAGTGTTAACCTGTATAAAGCCTTCATTAATCACAGATGAGAGAGCCAACCTGGTGTCTATTACCGAGACCTCTTAGAAATGTGCCCAGCTGAGTTTTGAGTTTGACATCAGTTGAGACTCCATGCCAGGGTCAGGTTAGCTTCCAAAGCTCTCTTAAGCTCTCTCTCTCTCTGCTGCTCCACAAATTACTGGATATGAGACCCTGTTTCTGAAGTTGGACTATAGGAATCTTTTGGGACTGTTGCTATTGTATCACTACATAGCAAAGTCCTTGCCTGAGCCTCTTGATTCTCTCTCAGAGTTGGTAGTGCAGTGCCCCAGATTTATGGCCCTGGGGACTTCAGTCTGCCTTCCCTGGGGCTCTGAGGTAGCTTAGACGTTTGTGGTCACCGTGACACCATCTAACCCTAGAATGGGTCTATCCCAGATCATCCAGAGCCCAACCCAGGGCAGTGGCCTCCCACCCAGGTTTTCTCATCAGAATAGTAGTGATATGTTCAGAATTTGGGGGAATTGTGTCTCACCTGTCACAGTCAGATCTTGCCCTGGTAGTAATCTCTGCCACTGCCCCCCTGCCAAAAGGAGACTGGATCATATTGGTTTATTCCCAGGACTGATGAACCCGGATGGGCTCCAAAGCTGGCCTTACCCCCAATGGTTTCCCTGAACTTTGGTCATTGTGTGGAACAGGAGGGCAGCTGAGGCTTTGGATTAGAACACAGTCATGTTCAACCTCTCCTCTCCCATTCATCTGGTTGATCTCTATGGTTTGCAGAAGAGCTTAGAGAGATGAAACAGGTCCCACTCTCAATTCCAGTTATGTGGGGTTCTACAGGATTCAGTAATACCTTTATCAAGCCTCTGGGTGAGATCATTCATCGTTATGGAGTATGGTATCATCACTTGGTTGTTCAATATCCAGTCATTTGTCCATAAAATGGGTGGTTATTGAACAACCAATGATGATACCATACTCCATGACGATGAATGATAAGTATGACAATATATTTAGTTAAGGCTACTAAAAAAAAAGCTGTGGTAAAAAATGCACAAACCGTCCTGCTTAATCTGCCACCTCCATTAATGAGTTTATGCAAACTCTGGATACACTTGAAACAAACAGCATAGTGAAAACTCAAAGAGTTTGATCTGCGTTTCTTATCCTAAATTCCTTCTAGGAGTTCAAAACAGAATACAGAGAATTATAGAATTATGTCATGGCCAAGGATACATTGTTAATATTCTATTGTTTTGCTCAAAGCTGGAAAACAGCTATGCGATGCTCACTTATGGCAATACTGTTGGAAGTAAACAAAACTGGTTGTAACCATGTTGGGGATAACTGTTAAATTCAACTAGTTCACATTACTGTTTGCACACTAGCCATAGTGGTAAAAACGCACTCCTTGACACAACTGCAGTGGAAATCAAACTAATCCCAGACTATAAATTCATTGTTTCTAGTGAAATATAAATCTGTCCAAAGCAAGCTTCGCTTTGTTCCCAAAGTTCAGTTTTTTCCTTAATGGCCCTGGCCTTTCCTTTTTGTCTGGATTGTGTTCACCTTGTATCTCTTATACAGTAAGGTGGTTTGGTGTAGTAGTTAAGGCACCTGGATAGAAACCAGGAGTTCTAGTCCCTTAGGTACGAAGCCGACCTAGTGACTTTGGACCAGTCACTCTCTCTCAGCTCTAGGAAGCAGGCAATGGCAAACTACACCTGAGATATTGCCAAGAAAATTGCAGGAATCTGTCTAGGCACTTGCCAGGAGAAAGACTGACTCAAAGGCACTCACACTCCCTCTCATGAAACTTAATGTCAAGATCAGACAATGACTCAAAGGTACTGATTTTTCCCCCTTGAAATTAGAATTAAAAGGAACAATAAAGCCAGGTATTATCACTATACTTATAGCATCAGGTTCAAACTCTGCATGATCTTCCCCAGTAAGTCTGTGAAGAAAAGGATAGAAGAGAAGAACACTGACAGCTATCATAGGCCAATGTTTAGATGTTAAGTAGCCCCAAAACAGGGACACGGTGGCTCAGTGGCTAGGTCACTGAGCTTGTCGATCAGAAAGGTCAGCAGTTCGAATTCCTCATGCCGCTTAACGGAATGAGCTGCCATTACTTGTCCCAGCTTCTGCCAACCTAGCAGTTCGAAAGCATGTAAAAATGCAAGTAGAAAACTAGGAAACACTTTTGGTGGGTAAGTAACAGCGTTCCGTGCACCTTCGGTGTTTAGTCATGCCGGCCACATGGAGACGACTTCGGACAGCACTGTCTCTTCAACTTTGAAACGGAGATGAGCACCACCCCCTAGAGTCGAGAACAACTATAGCACATATGTGCAAGGGACCTTATCCCCCAAACATTCTGGTTATGACAAAAAAAAAATGACTGTAAACACTACAAAACACTACAAGACCAAATCCAACCAGACAATATCCCATTTCATGTTACTGAAAACCACTGAGAGATACAGGAGAACTAGTAAAGCTACAGTTCCTATATTTAGATTTAAATACAGGGCACCCACCAAAGTAACTTGGAGAGCCGAGGTGGCACAGTGGTTAAATGCAGCACTGCAGGCTACTTCAGCTGACTGCAGTTCTGCAGTTCGGCTGTTCAAATCTCACCGGCTCAAGGTTGACTCAGCCTTCCATCCTTCCGAGGTGGGTGAAATGAGGACCCAGACTG